GTATGTGCATGATTTTAGGAAATTCCATGGCTTTATTAAATTCTCTCAGCAGGTTTATGAGGCTGCCAAAAGATGAAGGATGAAGTCTGGGTACCAGGTTGCCTTCCTAAGAGAAGGCAGCAAGTGAGGTTTTGACCATCAGAGGCACTTGACCTAGTGTTGGCTTGGCAGGAACTAGACCACTGTTTTTACTATGTGGGCTGGGGTGGGGGTGCAGCTCAGTGTAGGGTACTTGCCTAGTGTGGCAAAACCTAGGGTTCCAGCTCCAGCACAGGAAGGAAAAACCTTCTTTCGTGTGTGTGTGTGTGTGTGTGTGTGTGTGTTGTTACACTTAGTTGTAATTCCTTTGTTGCTGCTGATATTTTTCATTTGACTATCTTATAATCTGTTCTTGCTTCTTCTGTTATTGGATGTTTGTATCATTTGCAATTTTTTCCTCTTAGAAACAATGCTATTAACATTCTTATACATGTCTTACATATGGGTTGCCCATACAACTCTGAAGAAAGCCTAACATTTACCAGACTTTTGTGGAAGACATACTGTTTTGTAAGGAAGAGGTGGATGATTCTTCTTTTCTTTATCACCTTTTTAGGAAGGCCTTGTGGAAAAGAAAACTCTTTAAGTCAATTTTTTGATAGCGTTAGCATAGGTTCCCAAGTTGGCAATAAAAATCCATGAGAGCATTTGGTGAACCTGATAGTTTCCAGGGTCTACCTCAGATTACTGGATCAGAACCTCCAGAACAGGGAAGGAGTCAACAGAATTATCTAGCACCCAGAGGGTTCTCATGACTGGGAAACATTGCTTTCACCTCATTGAATGTATTAGCAAAGTTTGGCTCCTTAGTCATGAAGAAATTTGAAGAAAGCATACACATGACCAAAATCTTGGAAATTTGGCATTTGTGGAAAATTTGGCATTTATTTAGCTTATGTGATTTATAAAAATCTGAAATTTGAGTTAATAATTGTTTGTGAAAGAATAAACAAGCTTTGTAAAAGCTGTTAATTCAAGAGATTTAGGTTGATCAAGACAGAAAAGCCTCCTGGTAAAATCCTGGTAAAATCAGTAGAAAATGCATTTTCTGGACACAGTGGGGAGGAGGGCATAAAGATTGCTGTCAGTAATGACTTCAAGGAGCTGAAGACAGGAGACAAAACGAGCATAGGGAGATCCTGAACAAAAGCCAGGATGTGATGTTTCATCAAGGCTAGACTGCCGGGCTTCAGTGGAGCTGAGTAGGTGGGCCCTCAGGAACACAGTGGAGGAGAGAAGCAGAGATAGGGATCATCAGGAAAGGCCTGGAATCCTTGAGCAGAAATTAGCCTGTGTGTGGGTGGTGGAATGACAAGCATTCTAAAGAGATGACTAGTAAAAGTTTTTATTGTGATTTTCCAGTAAGAGATGTATTTATATCAAGGGCAATATACATATGCATGTAATAGAAGAAAGTTTCATAAGACACTTAACCTTAATAAGTGTATTGTGTCTGATGTTTTTTTTTTTTCTCTTATATTTTTTAATATGTGTTAGATTAATGCATTAATAGGTTAAAAAGGTGACCACTGTACTTGGAGTCTGTCCTTTGCAGGGAGTATGATTAGAGGAGATTTTCATGGGAACTCGTGAGAGCTGATGGTGGCCTTTAGAAGCCATCTTTGATTCTGGGCTATGATTGAATGTACTTGGCATGTTACAACAAAATGGCAAATTTCTATCCCTCTAACCGTACCCTTGGCCAGTAGATCAACTGAAATGCTTCTTGATATTTTTTTTTTCAATGCTTCATTTCAGTTTAGTGTATCTCTCAGCAGAGGGATGAGTGTGGGGAGCAGAAATTTGCTTCTCAATTTTCAAGGGCAAAGTCCTTCTGAGAGCTACAAATACCAGAGGGCTTTGTATGGAGATGGAGGGACTATTTCCCTGGGCAAGTTTAGGAGGGAAAATGGATGGTCCCTGGGCAGCCATGCTTCTGGCAGAACTGTGCTATGGCCAGTTGTGCAAACTGCATGTGTCACTGAGGGTGTAATCCAGGGTTACAGACCTCTGGCAGCATAGCTTCACTTGCTGCCAGTGCTGGCCAGAAGTCTAGGAAATGGCCTTTCACCTTGAAATACTCACTATTTAGAATCCAGATTCCTAGATCAGAAGTCTAAATTTCTTGGTTTCCACTTTGAGTACTTGTGAGAATTTTAACTAAAACTCTAACCTTCTTTGCATCCTTCACAGCTAATGGTCTACTGTCCCGTCTCAGGCTTGCTTCAGACTTGCTTCTGCCTTTTGCAGTTTGTTTTGAACTGTTGCTCTCTCTGTGTAAACCCTAAGGTCTCCATTGTATTGCGCACCTGTCCTTTTCTCGCTTGCTGCTCACCGTGAGCCCTCTCTGTCTTCAGCGTTTTAGGCTTGAGACCTGTTGTGGATTATTCCTTCATTATTTGCTTATGGGAAACCTTGTTCTTTTTACCTGCTCCAAGAGAAAGGTAGCTTTCACTCTTCTTGCAGGGAAGAGTAGATTAAAAAAAAGGATTTTAGACCTTAAAGAATGTGCCATTGGTTTTCCTTGAAGAGCAAGGGAGAGGGATGTTTTCTGTCATGTCCTGTAGAGACTAAAACTTCCTAAAGATCCACATGGAACTGATTTTACAGAACCCCTGCAATCAGATTTTTTTTTTTCCATTTTAGAGTGAGTGCCTTAGCGGCACTGAAGAGGAAAATCCTTTCATGTGTTCTCCGTTGTTAAGTACTTTCAGTTCTGTCTGCTAAGATTTAATATCCTTTTGATCTTTTCAATCCTTGATCCAGTTTTAATTTGGTCAGTTTAGACCAGGGAAGGGTTTTAAAAGACAATACCTTTTCCCTTTTGGGATTATATAGATATCAATCAAAAATGTCTCCAAAGATTTCCCAAAGTACCCGTAGGAGCAGGATCACTCCTGATTGAGAAATCAGTGGCTTTGTAGGTACAAAATTAGACAGTGGTTTAGATCTAGAATGTTCCCCAGTGGCCTCATGTGCTCAGAGGTGAGGCATTTGGAAGGTGATTGGATCATGGGCCCCATAGCTGACTTGCTGCTAGGGAGGTGGGTCCTGGCTGCTGGCAAGTCACAGGAAACATGACCTGGAGGGATATGTTTCACCCCCTGGTTCTTCCCTTCACACTCTGCTTCCTGGCCACCAGGCCTTGAGCAGCTTTCCTCCATAGTAGGCCTTTCTATCATGCCTTATCTGTATGTAAGTCTTCCTACTGTGGACTGAAAATGTGAGCCAAAATAAACCTCTCCTTCTTTAAATTGTGAGTGTCAGGTATTTTGTCCCAGCAATGGGAAAAATAGATATGATACACAGATCGTAGGGTTCTAAAATAATCCCTAACAAAGTCAGTTTGAGGAATTTTATAGAGATGTTTGAGCTTTGGAGGAATCATAGTGGGCATACAGATCAAAGCCTTGGAAAACTGAGGCACAGAGAGGTTATGGGTAACTTAAGATCACACAGCATATAACATGAGTCTCTGAACTTAAATTCATGAAGCCTAAAGACAAACTTCCGATTTTCCTTCAGTGTGTGCTTGCTGTGTGCTTCTTACTGGGTGCTTGCACTCAGAAATGTCCATGGAAGAGAGGGGAGTACTGTGTAATGGACCTGTCCACGACTCCTCAATGACCTGAGACTTTCTCTGAAGCCCTACATCTAGACTAGGGCCAGAAGGTGATGAGGGCATCTTGTATATCCATCTTTGCTGTGTGAGAGAATGGAGTCCCAATGGGTCAACTAGAGTTTCATCAGTTCAAAATTTGGGAACACACTTCTGAGGCTGGAGAAATAAAGTTCCTACTTCGTAGTTTTTCAGTATTGAATATCATTCTGTCTGCTCCTCACAGTCAACTATAGCACTGCCGTGATCCATGATAAAGCCTTTCATATGAAATGCCTGGAAGAACAGAGGGAGCCCTAGACACCTTCATGTGGAAGGCTTCGGAGAGGGAAGAGGTGTCTCTCCCAGGGTAACGGTGTGCAGAGGTGAAAGGGCCAAAAAGCAGGCCTAAGTCAGGGGGCAGGAGCGTAGCATAGGCCTGTGGAGTCCCTGAGTGGCTTCGATGTATCCTGCATCTTTTCTTCTTCTTTCCCCTCACTGGTCCTTTGTGCTTCATATACCTCTCAGGCCCTCCATCCCTGATTCTCTTTCATCTTCTGCTCCGCAGTCTTCAGTGACTCACTCTTGCCTTTTCCGATTTGAAACTTCTTTGTCTTGTGCTCAAGCTCTTTTTCTTTAATGCAGAGAACCTCTGTTTCTCTTCTAGTCTTACAAGAGTGAAAGCTGTTTTTTGTGTACATGAAAGCTTTAGTGTGACTGTGATTTGCAGAATTATTCTATGGGGTTTGGGATTGATGGTGGTTAATGTTTTGTTAAAGCTGTTTGATGTTCAAGAGCTTTCTTAGGAAGAACTTTTGTCTCTGATGATATTTTGAGTCTGCAGCCTGGACAACCACTTAACATCAGCATACAACTCAAAAATGATAGCCCAGTAAGCGAGCCAGAAAAGTGCCTGTAAAAGCAGATGAAAAAGTATGTGTACCTAAGCTCCTGGGTAGTCTTGAACTGTTGCACAGTTTGGTTCTGTATACAGTGCACTTGAGTGAGCTGTGGACCAGGTCAAAGCTCAGTGATGTCAGGCGCCAGCTGTCAAGTTTAGCAAGAAACTAGCTAATGTGTAAACTGGACTCGAGGTCTTTCTAAAATTCTGCACCTTCCCAAGAGTAGTTAGAAGGAGTAATTTTATCTCAGAGTTTAGTGACAACTGAAATTTCAGTGCACTGTTGATGCTTTCTTTTAGGAAACCAACCTTCTTGGCTATCCCCATGATGAAAGGGAAGGTACTTTAAAGTTGCCCATCTGGGGCGTATTTTGATTTACGCTGGAAGGACTGAGCTCCTGCCAGTCAGGCCTGGCCTGGCCAGTGTTGTTCACCCGTCTGCCTGTCCCCTCTGCCCCACAGATCAATGAGTGGAACAAGAATGATGACCGCCTGCTGCAGGCCGTGGAGAATGGCGACGTGGAGAAGGTGGCCTCGCTGCTGGGCAAGAAGGGGGCCAGCGCCACCAAGCTCGACAGTGAGGGCAAGACCGCGTAAGCTGCACTCCCTGGTTTCTTTTGTGTTCTTTTCTGGGATTCTTAGTGTTCTCTGGACTCCTTGGTATCCATTGGGAAGTTCTTCGAGTGCTTTATGGGGTCTTTGTGAAATTATTGCTGCTCCTCCCACTCCCATGTTTAAATGTGTTTGAGGATGTTTTAATTTGATTCCTGTCCCTTCCAGTTCCAGTTTCCACACTGTTCTCAGATACAACCAAAGATTTCACCAGAGAATAACTAGCACCAAAATTGCAGCCAGTTTGATAGGTGGGAAATGAGTTCTATCCTAGATAAGAAACAAGGTAAAAGAGAAAGACAATTTTTCAGTTACCTTCAAGCCTTGCTACTATATTATAATGTACTTACCACCTTCTTTAACATGAGTAGTTACATGAGTACTGTAATGTGATTTTGCTTCATAGTTTGTCATACATAATACTTACCATAATTAAAATTATATATTGGAGTGAGTGTGTATATCTGTGTGTGTGTGTGTGTGTGTGTGTGTGTGTGTGTGTGTGTCTGTGTATAACTGTTCATGTCCATTTTTACCTGGGAAATATTGTAGAACTGGGGTCCCCAATGCCTGGTCCTTACACTGGTACAGGTCTGTGGCCTTTAGGAAGTTGTACAGCAGGTGAGCAAGGGGTGTGGAAGGAAACCTCATCTGTCTTTACAGCTGCTTTCTGACTCCCATATTCTCGCCTGAGTTCTGCCTCCTGCCAGATCTATGACACCATTAGATTCTCATAGGACTGTGAATCCTACCTGGTAAAGCTTCCCCTGTTTGTGTGAGGGATCTAGGTTCTAGGCTCTTATCTCCTCGCCCAATCTGTAGAAAGTTTTTCTTGCACGAAATCTGTCCATGGTGTGAAAAATGGTGCAGCCCTCTGTTGCAGAGAGATCAGCGACTTTGGAGCCAGATAGACTGCTCATGTGGACCTTGGCATTTATGAGTTGTATAATCCTGGAACCTCACTTTCTTTACTGGGAAACAGGGATGATATTATTTAATTGTTAGGGTAGTTGTGTGCATCAAACAAGATCCTGATCCTGACTGACTCCAGCAACAGGCTGTGAGACAAGACTTAAATATCAATAGTTTCTGTTGTCAGAGATCTTAGAAGGCATGGGGAAGACAGAAGCCTATAAGTAGGGTTTATATCGAGTGCTTTTTACTATGCGTAACTGGGGTGACTTCCTGATAAGGACTTTGGGTAATCTGTTTAGTCTTAGAGCAGGATCTGATTAACTATGGTCTGTGCGAAGCTTAGGCATTGTCTATTGGCTACTCCCACACTACAGAGACACAATTGAGTGGTTGCAACAGAGACTACACACGTCACAAAGTTCAAAATATTTGCTGCTTTTCCCTTTACATAGAAGTTGTGCGTCACGGCCCAGGGATTTAGCTCAGCGGCATAAGTGCCTGCCTTGCAAGCGCACAGTCATGAGTTGGATCCCCGGTTACCCCTAGTCCCCCCCCCCCCCCATTGTGCTTCACCTAAGTTTTTAAGTTTAAAGCTTCAGGGACATCCTACCTACAGGGTAAAGAAAGCAAGGTCCTGGAATGCCTGCCACTCAGAAGCTGAGCCCTACTCTTTAAGGGCCTGAGTGCTGATGGCCACAAAAGATCTAAGAGGATTTGTAGCACATGCAGTTTTATTTACTATATTGAAAGAACTGGCACAGTTCCCAGCTTATATGAGAAAGTCAATAAAGCCAGTTCCCTTCTCTTTATGTCCCAAGTTAGTGTTCTCAATCTTAGGAGAATGCACGTAAGAATTACATGGAATTCTTAAGCAATGTTGATGCTGTAATGATGCCTGAGTCATCGTGATATTTGGAATCACTTATTCTAGGAAAAGGCACAGTAATCAATATTCTTTGGTACTGAGATTTTTGGTGGTAGACACTTAGCTTTTGACCTACTTTGTGTTCCACTGTATGGCTTTCTTCCTCTTTCCCCTTGTCCAGCTTTGCAGGTATCTATATAAGACAGCATTTTATAGTCATCCCAGGGAAAGAAGAATCACCAATGTTTATAGTAGTTTTATGGAAGATAGTATTTGCTACAAGATGATACAAAATTTAGTTAGCACCTTAGCCCTATACCTGTGGCCATTGTAACAAATTTGTACCTTTTCATATTTATTTTTTCTCTCCTCTGTACCCTTCATTTATCTAGCATCAAATTCATTTATTTATAAGACTTTATAGTATTTATTACCACATATACAGATTAATAACCAGACTCAAAGACCAAAGAACATCTGAAACATGGAAGTTTTTCATATAAGACAAAGCGTGCAATATTTAAGCTTGTGTGTCTGAGCACTTATGCGTAGAATAGATGTTGGTTGTGGTAAAATTCACATAAAATTTACCACTTTGATGCTTTTTTTAAGTATTTAACTGAAGGCATTCAGTACAAGCACCATCACTATGTGGTTCCAGAGCTTCCCGTCCCCCGCCAGAGCTCTGTTACCACCACACAGAGGACACTCAGTATGCCCTGGGCAGTCCCCCTCAGCCTGGCACCACTAATCTTTTTGTCCCTGGATTTGCCTGTTCTGGATATTTTGTATAAATGGAATCATAAAATATCGGACTTTTGTCTCTGGCTTCTTTCTCTTAGTGTATTTTTAGGTTTGTCCCTGTTGTAGTATCTGCCAGCGTTCATTCTGTGCTTTGGGTGGTGGAGACGCATGCAGGAGTCACGTAGGAATCACCACCTCCATTGTTGAAGTATTGCATCGAAGGCCCACGTATCACAGCTCTCTGTGAGCTTGCTATAGAAACAGCTCTCCCAAGTCTGTGTGTGTGCTTGCAAGTCAGCTATTTTCTCCTTCAGTGACACATGTGGAAAGTTAGAAGACCTAATGAAAAAGGAAGAAAGGAGGAAATTATTTTTCCAGTGTAGAATTTTTCCGTAAGTAGTCATCTGTCAACACTTAATTTTTCTGCTTGAGATATTCCTTTTGAGGATTAAAGTTATTAACTAATAACTACAAGAATTGAATTTTTAAAGGTATCCCAGAATTCAATCTTTTCTGGCTTTACATTTTGATTCAAACATAATGATCTGAATATTCCAAATAAGGTGGGGCTGTGGGGCTGGAAACCATTTTCCTTATCCCTTCAGGATTAAAAAACAATGCAAAATCGAAGATTCTGTTTTAAATGAGCCCAGTATTGCTTTCTGGACCAAAGCCTTCTCACCTTTGGAGGCTATGCTTGGGCTCTCAGGTTTACCTTAAGTGGCACACCAGTCCCTAAGAGCACACTTGACAGTGTTGCCTAAGCAGTAGGGACTTTTCTGTTGTTCTGTACTTCCCAGATAGCATGTGGATGGACGATCATGTCCCAGAAGCAGCTCTGAAGCTGTGATGGATCAGGGCTGGCCTTCATTCCCTGCTGCTAGAATTCTTGGCTAGACCAGCCGCGTGAGCGTGCAGAGGTGGCATTTGTTTGTGAAAACATAAGAGATGTTTTTCATTTCCTGCTAAAGAAAATGAGGTCCTCCACAGGGCTTGCCCTCATTGTCTGCCTACTTAAAAGAGCTGACCCTTTCTTTTATACAGTTCCATGTCAAAACTAGGCTGGAGGCCTATTTTCTGTAGAGCTCTTGTGCTAACCCATTTTGTAGTTTGGCGTGGGCATCCACAGTTGCGTGTCAGTGCCGAGTCCTGATTTTGGCTTTCAAGGTTGTTTCTGTGGCCCTGCCCTGGTGTAAACATTTTCTCCCGTATGTCTTCTTCTAAAAGTGGGCTGCCTGTTTCTGCTTCCGGTCAGGTAAGAATGGCCACATACGGCCACATACTCACCCAGGTTGCATGTTCATTTGTATTCTGTGGTATCGAAAGAAAACAAACAGCAGAAGTCTCTTCCCTTATGAAATATCTTTGTTTCCAGATTCAAATCTATAAATAACTAAGCAAACACAGTGGCTAGGTGAGGACAAGGCTCATACCATAAAGGTCATTCTTTCGGTATTTATGGAAGTGACTTTTCAGTGTGGCTCTTATGGAGAAAACACTCCCTTCTGCTGATGGGTAAGTTACATAGGAGCAAACTAACTGGAGATTCAGAGGGAAAAGAACTATTGTGACGAATGTCACACCCTGCACCCCAGCTTTTCTAGCAGTGTGGAGAAACTTGTAGTCTACTACCTACCGAGCCAGAAAACCGCAAAGTCCCTCACATGTTCTCCAGAAGCTTCCGTGGCCTGCACTCAGTAACCACATGTGTAGCTCGGCCATTCCTTAGGCTTTTTATTTCTTTCCTAGAATATTTTCTTTCAGAGAAAAGATAAGAAACTATGTCAGAAGTGTTTCTTCCCCTACCCATGATGAAAGTAGTTTTTTAAAAAAATAAAAATCAAATGACTGGAATTTGTTTCGGAAAAAGTAAAAGGAGAGTGGTTTCTTGTCAGAGAAGAACAGAGTAGGGCAGAGTTACAGCTGCAGGCGGTATTTATGGAGGGGCCTGGCTTGCTTCTACCCCATCTGGCCTCTTTTCCATGGGGGATGTGAGGAGTGGGAGGGTGTCAGTGCCCTGAAACCTCTTACGTAGAACAGTCTAATTGTTTCAAGATGGTTCTCCCTACATTTGGATGTGCCTTTAATTAAAGTTATATGTTTGTCTTAGGAACAACCAGACTAAATAAAATCACTTCTGGGGCTATAGTATTTGAACAAATACCCACCAGGACACAGGCGTGTAGGCCGTAAAAATGTGTGTGTGTGTGTGTACATGCACATACATGTGTGCCTTCATGCAGCTTTCATAGCAGAAACCTGATCTTTTTGGCTTCAAAAGCAAGGACTTGTAAAAGTATTTTTAGATGAATCTGTGGAACTTTTAAATACTGTACAATGTGGGGGAGATACTCCTTGAACTCTACAAATCAGAGTAAGCCAAGGCTTCTGCATTTGGTGGCCTGTGCATTCTGCCTTCTTGATTTCTCAAGACAGGGATATATTAGAAACTCGGTATCAGCCTTTCAGTCTTAGAAATCAAGTCTCCTCTAGGTCTTCTCAAAAATGACTTCCAAGTGAATTTGTGTGAAACCATTACATAGTATATGTGTGATTGTAACTCCATTACCCTTGCAAAACCACCCTGTCTTTCCTTAAGCCCTGCTGATATTTGACAGAATGATAAATTATACAGTACAAATACAGTATCCATTTTGCGTTGGGTCATGTACCTTTAGTAGGTAACATAACCCTTGTTCATACCTCACAAGTACTGTAAGCCCAAGTGTTTGTGCTTCATGAGTCTACTGGTTGGTAGGTACTTTTGTCTAAAATGTTCAAAACTGTAATATAAGCAGATACAAAAAGAAGAAATACGTTCATTACCAGATGCATAGCATTCACTTGGAATGGCAAGACCAATGAAAATGCTGAATAATTCATGGTTAACTTATAAATACTGATCATAAAGAGTCTAGGTAGGACAACAGAACAGCTAAGAAGTGCTTCCTATATGAGGTGTGATGTGAGGGGTCTTAAAGAATGCAGAAATCAGTAGGGCTTGGGTGGGCTCAGGGCAAGAAGACAGAGTAGATGCAGATAACAGCAGAAACAGAGGTTAACCTAGACTGGAAAGGAAAACAGTGATACTATGGCTATTGTGCCATCCCTTCTCTGAGTTATCTTCACCAAGTGCTGGACTCCACTTGAAACTGCATCAATTCTCAACTTGGCGTTTATTAGAATTACCTTGGGTAGTTTGGGAAAAGGCTAGGGTGGACCTGCAGAGACTCTGGGTTGAACTAGTAAGGAATGTGATCTTGTTCATTGAAGAGCAGGTGATTGGAATGGTCAGCCCCCATTTAGAACTACTGAGCAGCGCCCTGCGCAGCGAGAGCCCTGATGGATTACAGTGATGGATTACAGGTGGCCCAAGGATAGTTTGGAGAGCCTAGGTGAACTGAGTTCTAGCATAGACACACATACATGCACATATGTTTGTAATATTTGTAGACAAAACAAAATTTAAAGAAAAGGTCGATTTTTGTTTTAAAATAAACTATGTTAAGGTAACATAATTCACAAGGTTTTTAAAAGGAAGCTGGGTTTTATGTGAAAGTTAAACATACGTTGTTGCAAAATTGTGCAGTAGAAGGGTGCATATAACCACAGTAGGGTGACAATTGATGAGAATGGATAAGAAAATTAGGACTACACTGATGACAGTATTCATAGGGTCACAGTGCTTTTTTGTTTGTTTTGTTTTGTTTTTAATTGCTTTAAAAAATTGGATTAAGTCTATTGAGAATGAAGGATTTTCAACACTTACATGGTAATTGTTGCTCAGGATTGAAGCTGGCTGGCTTGCTCCTCCCCCTCGCCATCTGGTGGTGCCTGCCACCGACTGGACTGGACCTGCCCTGAATGCAGAGGTCAGGAGAGCCTGGGAACGTGGTTCACTGTGATAGAGAGAAAGCAGAGCAGGAAAGGCTCAGAGCACACAGGCTGTGACCTGCCCTCAGTCCTCACATGCGAGGGCCTGCCAGAGCAGGCGGTTCTCATGTGGAGCAGCAGCCAGGAGGTTCAGGAGTCGAGTCCAGTGGGATCACAAGCATGCACCAAGCCCTCCTGTTTTCTCACCTTAGCTCCTGAAAAGTTGCCATCACCACCACCCATACCCCTGAGTGTGAAGTATCATGGAAGACCCTGTGGTACCACCTCTTTCATGAATTCTTTGCTAACGTCTAATGGGGCAGTCTGTTTCCACCGCCTCTCTGAGCCACCTAGGAATGAAAGTGTCTTAGTTACCTAAGTGCTTATCTTGTCCTTCGCTTCTTTATTTATTCCCTCTCTCCCTCCTTTGCCCTTCCTCCCTTCTTTCTTTTCCAGGGTTGAACTCAGAGCCTTATGCACACTAAGCAAGTGCTGTGCCACTGAGCCACCCCCCACACCACCCCAGCCCCAATAAGAAAGGAGTTGTTTCTTGTGATGCTGCTTCTTTACAATACTGGCTTTCACCTGTGTCACCAATTCAGTGAACAGTTCATCTCCTCACTCCTTTTAAAGATTTTGTCAGTTTCTCTCACGTGTGTATTTCTCATCTAATTCTCTCAGCCACTCTGCGGTAGATTCATGAACAGGGAAGTGTGACACAGAAAGGTTCAGAAATTAATATGAATCATCTGTTCTAAGTTCTAGGGGCTAGAATGTGGGGGTGTATCCATGAATGCAGCATACAAGTCATTTGTCCTAATGGAAATTTCAAAATGCTCAAGTGCTGTTTCCAGATCATATTTATAAAATCAAATAGTCCTGAAGAAAAAAAGCTAATGGTCAAGTTAAATGCTGGATTGCTTAGCTTTGTATATGTGATCCTTCATCTCTTCTCTCTACCTACCATTATATCCCCACAAGAGCCTAAGTAGTACTGTTAGTACTATTAATTAGCTTATTCTGGGCACTGAAAGGGTAATAATTCTGTATTTATAGGCTTCATTTTCTATGCCAGTCATAATGCATTATACCTATTTAGCAGGGAAAGGCAACATATGTTTCCATTTTTCATACTGTGCTGTTGGTTCCAATTGAAAGCGGTGATCAGAGTTGCTATTGTAGCTGCTTTGGAAATTATTGAAAGTCGGTGGGCAGTGGCACATCTGCCGGAAGGTTGTGCTCTGGGACAGCAGAGCTAATACCCACTGGAAGAGCAGACTTAATTTGGGGGGTTTATAACTAGAATCCATTAGATAGGATTACATTCTTACCCTCAAATTAGAATCTGAAATAAGAATCCAGATGTTTTAATATTATTGATAGGATTTTCAATAAGATTATTGAAATATTTGGTATGGGCCCACTCTCATTTCAGATCAGTACGATAGAATTTAGATGTTTCAACAAACATGCCATAAAACAATTGGTAGGATGAGTTGAAATCATAGCTTTAAGGTAAAAAAAAAAAGGCTTTTGTGATCATAGGGACCAGACAGATGAGTAAACTGATGCCAGTGAATTTGAATGACTTTCCTGGAAGCTAGTAAAGTTGTAAGAATTGCCTGTTTTTGGCTTTTCAGCCTTCAGTATCTCCTCTGTCTACTTCCTGGTAATTTTCAATGGTGAAGCTTTTAATATGAGATGCTGGGAAGATGGTAAACCAAGGACTACTGAGTTTTATTTCATGGCCCCTTTTGCTATGTCAGTGACTCTAAATATGGAGTGTGTATCAGAATCATGTGGGAATTACTGGGCTCTAGCCCTGGCTTCTTGAGTAGGAGCCCGAGAACTTGCATTACTAACAGTTTCTCAGGTGATGCTGATACTGCAGGTTCCAGGCCGTGTTGGGGAATCTGCTGTGCAACTCAGCTGGGAAGCCAAATTGAGTTCAACCTAAAGGACAGTTCCTTTCTCAGGAACATATGTCATAACCTGAGAAACATGTATGGTTATACCACTTTTATGGGTGTGCCTTGACTTTAGAAAACTTAAACACTTTATAGTAAAAAAGGCAAAGTCAAAGCTAAAGATTTGTATTATGTGAAGAAAAACAAAGCCATATCTGTGATAAGAAAATTGAAAAAAAGAAAGTCATTCTTTCAGCATCAAGGGCCGCACAGTCTAATGGGACAGACAGGCAATAGCAGGTGGCTTTTTAACGTAATGATCATGTACACTGATGGCTGGGGAAGAAGGCCGGTGGGGAAGAGGGCGGGAGCTCTTTGCATGTGGCTGTGGAAGGAAGGGCTCTCTGGGCAGATCTCTGAATGGAGTGGGCAGCAGTCACACACCTTCCTAGAGAAATAGCTCTGCTGGTGGAGGGAGGAGCAAGCAAAGGCCCTGAGGTAGGAGGCTCTCAAGAAATTATTAGTAGCCGGGGAACTGAAGCCAGTGAACAGGGAGGATGAAAGAAGGTGAAGTGGAAAGGGAATCAGCAGCCAGAGCCTTGTAGACTGTGGCAGAGACTTTGATTAAATCCCTAATCATAAATATTAAATATTTTTGTTTTTTAAAATCTCTTTAAACATGGCGTACTATTACTTTTTTCTCTCCAGAAAAACATACAGTAAGTGTGATTAAAAATAGAAGTGACATTAGGTGATTGGGATATGAGGCTCCTGTTGTAGAACTAAGAGCCCAGAGCTCCTGAGGAGCTGTGAGACAGCTGTTTTGTGTCATGGATTATTTGTGAATCTCTGCTGATAGGGACTCCTTTCCTGGGAAGAAGGAAGATGTGCATTTTTAGGGAGAAGCTACTCTCAAAATTAGAGCAGTAAGTTCAAGTCCTGACTTTTTCCTTATTTCCTCAGTATCCCTATGAAATGACAATTTCACTGAGATTCTGAGGTGTGGCTGGCACTTGCAGGGTTTGGTGAAAGTCATCTATTTTGTTGTGCCATTAGTTGTCTCCTTGACTTGGGATTGCATATACAGTGGGAGGTATTGAAGACCTCAGCATGGTCCAGCCCTGTGGATGCCAGCAGCCAGGTGGTGAAGGAGGCAAGGAGTTTGGTTTGAGAGAAATTTTCTGTGAATGAACATGCCTGAAAAAAATCAATGTTCTGCAAGTATTCTTGAGACATTTTATTTCTTTCCAGCATATGATGTAGCTAGTACTGTAATCAGAATTGTGTTATCACTCAGGAAAATAGAAAGAACTTTTTAGACCATAATTCACACTTTTGAATAGCAGCATTCAGGCCCTCTTTTGGTGAAGAGCTTTGGGAAGTAAACCAGCTTTACCCCAAGGCATTTATTTCAGGAAGGTTTGCACAACTTGACGAGGAGTGTTGTTGTAGGAAATGAAATCTCCATTGCAAGCTGATTGCTTCAGCTCTGGGATTATGTTCCCATTCGTTTGAGAGCCCTGGCAACCTTACTTTGCCCCAGTGAGAAGCTGATGTTTGCTTTTTTGCCAAATACTTGCAGTTTTTAAACTTTGTTTTTAAAGGAGCGGCACAACCAATAAGTTATAATCCAGGGGATTTCATGGTTTGCAGAGCTGAGAAACAGCACTGTTTCTCCACACAGTGGTAAAGAGCCAGCCCTGGAGACTCTCTGCTGCATGCTTGTTTTGGGACTTTGCCTCAGTTTCCTTCTCTGTAAAATGAGGGCCTAATAATTTATTCTAACCTTCTGTAAGCCTGCTCTAAGGATATGACTCCTACTGTGTAGTTTTAGTAGATTAGATGCTGTTGTTTTTAAAGTTTTTGTCATTTAATTTTCTTAACCATGGTTTAAAAGTGAGGAACTGAAGTTAAATGACCACAGTGACATCATGCTGCAACAAAGCAGCCAACAGTGTGGTACCCAGGCCTCCAAGCAGCCCTCCAGCCTCTTAACTCTTACCCTGGCTGCTGGCATCCATAGGGCTGGACCGTGCTCCTCTGAATGCCACTGCACTGCTATTTGAAGTGGGGGACATCAGTGAACTGAGTCTTTCTTGGGGTGCAGGGGAGTCGGAGGAAGAGAAAGAGGGTATAAAATAGCAACAAAATTCTGAAACACTGAAACTCTGGGATTTTTTCCCAGTGACAAAAGCAATAACATTGCAAATATCAGTAAGCATCAAAGAATCAAAATAGGTTTGTGTAAATCATCAAGCTGCTTATTTGTGCCTTTTAGTTATAGTCGATATTAAAGGGCCCCAGCTGAGTCTCATAAGTAAAGTTAAACATGGCCTATTATAGCGAAAGAGGACCCAGAGGGGATTCCTTGTTTGTGGAACATATCTGTGAAATTGTTTTTGAGGTTGAAGGAATTATGTTCAAAGAATATTGAAACATTGAGTGCCTTGCCAAAAATGATGGTTGAGGATTTTAACTTGTCCTGTATTTAGAGCAATGCCTGTCAGACTTGACTGTACACACAGAATCAGCTGGGGATCTTGTCTGTTGAGCTTCTGATTCAGTTAGATGTGGGGTGAGTCCCGAGAACCTGCATTTTAACAAGCTCCTGGCCTATAGGACCACTGTTAAGAGTAGCCAAGACTTATTGAAATGCCATGGCTTCAGCTACATCAGATTTGGGATAGCCTCTGTGGGTGTCCCTGAGCAATGACCTGTGTCTGTCTTACTGAGCCTGGGGAGAGAAGTGGAGAAAGGGCTTTTATAGCCCTCTGACTCCACCAAATTCTTGATATCTTTAAATGAGATAAAACAAAGAAACAAAATCTCAAAAAAATATTGTTATGGTTAATATATCGCATATTTTATCTCAAAAGTAATTACTCAGAGTATAAGATACAGGCATGAAAATACTCTCCAAACAATATTAACACAAACCTTTCTTCTCAATGAACTTAGAGAAGTTGCTAGTATAACTGTCTTACTTATCTTGTATATTCTCCTATTATCTTGTTTTGAAATTTGTTATAGTTTTTCCCTTTAACATAAAATTTAACACAATAAAAAAGTTTTTAAAAGTACATTGGTATATATACTCATCATTAAAAAGAAAGGCCACATTTTTAAGTTAGAAATAAAAGCTTATGAAGAGCGATAGCTAAAGATGTCCCTGGTTTGTTTTGCATTCACTATTTTATATTCCTTTAAGAGGAACTCTCAGCTAATAATTAATTGAACTAACTACTTCAAAGGGCTTGTTGAAAAGGACTGCAGTGTTTTGCCTCTGGACATTTTAGGTTGCAATTAAAATTTTCATCTCTTAAATT